TTCACTGCATCTGCTGATAACAGCTCACCGCTGATTCCTGTGAAAACCTCCACCCCAGACTAGTTTCCCAGGGGCCACGGGAAGCAGCTTCCAACTGCACTGTTTGTCAAGGCTTATCCCACAGCAGGCACCCACTTCTACCCAGAGGGCCCCCAAGTTCTTTGGCTCTTACCAGTTCTGTAAAAACAACAGCGCTGCCTTTTTCCTTAGGCAGCGAACAGTAATGAACTCAACAGGAAGTGGTGGGGGTGTGTGCATGAGGTGGGGTGTCTTGCTATGGCCTAGTTATTTACAGAAAGGAACATCTTTTTCTTTCCAATGCTAAAATGCTTCCCCAAAGGCAATAAACTAATAAAGTGAATCACTTCTAATCTTTCTCAAAGCCACATAACAATTTAAGTTGTTCAAAACCGGAAGAGAGGGAGGGAGAGGAATAAAAGGAAATATTAATGAAGTGCATATGAAGATGCCCCAATGACACACATTACTTGGTATGCTAACTTAATTTTTTTTTAAAAACTAGAAGAGCTCGGAGTTAATATTAAATCAATAACTCAAATTAATATATATATTTTAAAAAATCCTTTTAGAATGAGGTGGTAGTGTCACACACTTTTAATTCCAGCACTCAGGAGGCAGAGGTAGGTTTGAAGCCAACCCGGGAGTTGGGTTCCAGGACAGCCATGGCTACACAAAGAAATCCTGTCTCAAACAAACAAAAAATTTTTAGGATATCCCACTCTGACTCAATAATCTATGTTCGCCGGGCGGTGGTGGTGGCGGCGGCGGCGGCGGCGGCGGCGGCGGCGGCGGCGGCGGCGGCGGCGGCGGCGGCGGCGCACGCCTTTAATCCCAGCACTCAGGAGGCAGATCCAGGCAGATCTCTGTGAGTTGGAGGCCAGCCTGGTCTACAAAGCAAGTTCCAGGAAAGGCGCAAAGCCACACAGAGAAACCCTGTTTAGAAAAACAAAAAAACAGGGCTGGAGAGATGGCTCAGAGGTTAAGAGCACTGACTGCTCTTCCAGAGGTCCTGAGTTCAATTCCCAGCAACCACATGGTGGCTCACAACCACCTGTAATGAGATCTGGTAACCTCTTCTGGCCTGCAGTCATATATGCTGTATACATAATAAATAAATAAATAAATCTTAAAAAAAAAAGAAAAACAAAAAACAAAATCTATGTTCAATCTGCTTAAAAAAAAGTTTCAAGTCACACAACTTAGGTCAGTCAAAGAGTCAAATATTGTAGAGTCAAAGTAACCACAGAGAGTTAAGCTCTTTAGGTTAACCAAAAGGTTCTCTTTTACCTGAGTGGTGGCTCATAACTACAATCCAGGACAGAGGGGCGGGGCAGACAGACAGGGACACGGAGTAGGAAGATGGCTGTGCATTTGAGGCTAGCCTGGGCTATATAGTGAGTTCTGAGCCTGAGCTACCAGAGCAAGAAAATGTCTCAAACAAACAAGCTTCCTCTTAGCACTGGAGAACGGTCACTTTCTCCTTATTTGCCTTTACTCCAAGATCACTGCCAAAAAAATGGATTGATCAATATCAGATGTGCCATGAATTCCAGAACATTGTGATTCCTGTACAGTCACAAAGCTTGGTGTAAACATGGCACACACTCCCACAGCCAGTTGTCCTCAATGTACCTGATACCACAGACAACTGTGTAGGTTCCTAAGAGAAGAAGGTTCACTGGGACCTCCAGGCTGCACTAACCCCTCCAGCTAAACTCAGATTCTCTCAAGACCAACTCAAGACCGAAAACACGAATCAAAATCAGGAGGCTGGTTTCTAGTAGTCTCCTAAACTACCAATAAAATAGCTGAATTTAACAACGTAATATTCGCAATACCAACAATTGAATAAAGGCCATATGGGCTTCAGATTCTCTGAGTTTAGCTATCCTATCTTCAAAAGATGACCTTTAATCCTAGCACTTGGGAGGCAGAGGCAGTCATATCTCTGAGTTCAAGGCTAGTCTGGTCTACATAGTGAGTTCCAGGACAGCCTGGGCTACACAGCAAGACCTTGACTCAAAAATCCAAAAAAACAAACAAACAAACAAACAAAACCAAAAAAAAAAAAAAGAAAGAAAAATGATTCATTAGATGTATATGGGGTAATAGCCAGCTCAGAACACTATTCTGTATAAAACTAACCTTTTTTAAAATTGGTTTCCTTTTTTTAAGATTTACTTATGCATATGAGTGCTCTATTTGCATGACAGAAGAGGACATCAGATCCAGTTATAGATGGTTGTGAGCTACCATGTGGGTGCTGGGAATTGAACTCAGGACCTCTGCAAGAGCAGTCAGTGCTCTTAACTGGCAAGACATCTCTCCAGCCCCTAAAACTAACTTTTTAAAAAAAGTTTCTTGGTTTTGTTTTTAAAGCTAGGAGTATTGTGAGTTCAAGGCCAACCTGGTTACATAGAGAAATCTTATCTTTAAATCTCTTGGGCTTAACCCAAGGATTCTACAGTACACAGTGCCGTCCTTGGGCTTCCTACGCTGATCCTAAGTAGGTTAAATATCTTGGATATTGATCCAAGATTACCTTGGATATGACACCTTATGTGTGGCCACCCAAGCAACAAGCTGTCATGATTCACTGCCACCTTACCAGGTTTTCATACTTGGCTATGAAATTCTTAATGACTGTACATATAAAGGAACCAAACAGGATCTTTGGAAGAAACAGGTTACTAGGCAAACTGCTCAGTAGAACCACACAGATTGTATGCCAGGCTAGGCCACAATAATGATGGTTAAGGGCACTCACAGCTAAAGTCAAACTGAAAACCAGTCACGAAACAGAAGGGAAGAAAAAGCCACTGCTCAAGGGCCTCTTGTGCAGGAAGGACAGACAGCACTTCTCTTTCGTGCAGACGCAGAGATAGATGGCCATTTCTCCGCCCCTGTCTCCCCGATTTGGCCCACCCCACTCCAGCCAACTATACCCTTAGAAGTACACCTTCACTTTTTGAAACATGTTCCAGCCCAGAGGCGGTGGCCCAAGCCTTTAATCCCAGCAGTCGGGAGGCAGAGGCAGACACATCTCTGTCAGTTCGAGGCCAGCCTGGTCTATAGAGCTACTTCCTGGACGGTCAGCGCTACAGAGAAACCCTTTCTCCAAAACAAAACAAAAAAAAACAAAACAGAAACTTCCTTCAGATTCTTTAACGTATCCACACTCCAACTCCGCAAAGGGATCCTGACCCAGTGTTCTGGAACAGCAGTGGGGGGGCTGGGCCTAAGTTATAAGAAAGAACTGTTCTCTCCTCACCACCCACATCCACGTAGATCTGCCTAGAACCCCAGTTCCCATTTTTTCTTCCCCACAACACCCACATGTTTCTGCGAGCAACCAGATGAGGGGCCCCGGTGGCATGGAAACGGGTGGGGTGACGATGAGAATGGATGGATAGGAGCCTGGGTGTGGGGGCAGGGTTGGCACCAACTTGGCCTTGAGGTCCAGAAGGCATTCTTGAGATTTGTCCTTCTGCCCTAAGGAAAGTGGGAGCAAGAAGGGGCTTTCTGCTCATCAAAGAGAGCCAAGGGTGTCCACTTGCATCCATGACGAGCTTTTCTCACGGCCCGCGCACCCACTTGAGGAGCCCTCCGCTCAGCACGGTGTGAGTGCCCTTCCCATCTGTCAGTCAAGGGACACTACCTCCCAACGCCAGGGGTCCCGCTTAGCTCCAGCCGCGTCCCCCCAAACCTGACAAGCTCCAGAGGACTGCCTGGGAGGCCCTGGGGTCCTGGCCCGTCCCCCGCGGCGCGGGTCGCTCTGCAGGCCCTCCCGGACCCTCCCAGCCCGCGCGGACGGCGCACGCAATCGTACCCGGAGCTCGCCCTCCGTGCGGTGCAGTCCCAGGCGCCGCAGCCCCACCGCCAGGTCGTTGACACAGAGGCCGCCGTCGCGGTTGACGTCGAGTGTCTGGAAGAGGCTCCACAGGCGCAGCCGGTGGTCCGGGCCGCCACAGACGGCGCCGCCGCACGGATCCCCTACAGAAGCCGGCGACGAGGCGGACGACGAGGTGGCGGCGGCGGCGTCCGGCGGCGGGGAGGCCACGCAGCGGCACAACACACTGCTCACCATCGGGCGCGAGGCGGGGGCGCCGGACGCGGGGCTGAGGGCGGCAGGCAGAAACCGGAGCGCGGAAGCACGCCGGCTTTCCTGAGACGGCGAGCGCGGGCTCCGCGAAGCCGGCAGGCTGGAGGGAGGGGCCGCTTCCGGGAACCCCGCCCCGCCGCGCGCCGCGGCTCTGACCGCGCCCCCTGGCACACTGCCGGCCAATCACAGGCCGGGATGGCGGCTCCGGGAATCAATGAGGGGGCGTGGCCACCACGCTGGCTCTGAGTCGATTCAAACTGAGAGCGGCGGGCATTAGCCGAAGCGGGGTAATACGCAAGCAGAAGGTCCCGCGTCCAATTCCCATTCAGAAGCCCTGTTTAGACTGCGGAATGATGAGGCTGGGAGGAGCGGTTGTGTCCGGAGAGAGATCGTAGCTATCCGTGGAAATGAGATTTGTATGAGAGCAACTGTGGACTGAAGTTAGAAGACACTTAGCACCACTGAATAAAATCAAAATTTAATGGGTTGACGACTCAAGACCGAAAACACGAATCAAAATCAGGAGGCTGGTTTCTAGTAGTCTCCTAACCTACCAATAAAATAGCTGAATTTAACAACGTAATAGTCGCAATACAAACAATTGAACGACAGGCTGATTTCCCAATGGAAGTGAATAAAGGCCATGTGGGCGGACGCCCTGACGCGACAGACATGCCTTTAGGCCAATGACCAAGCCAGTTCTAGCAAATAGGTGTGTCCTTGAGAGAAATGGCAGGCCTGGAGAGCCAGTGATCGGCGAGGCATTTGAGCCACGCCGACCTGGAGGGCGGGGCTCCCCAGGGATGGTCGCGGGGCGGGAAGAAGGGAAGTGGGCGGATCTCCGCACACCCCGGCGGAAGAGGCAGATTCAGGAAGCCATTACGCAGCTGGCTGGCGGCGGTCGGGCCGGTCAGGGCTGGGCCCTACGCACTTTGCGTAGCGAGGGGGATTACTTAAGGCCTGGTGCTTGGCCTAGAGCAAGCCTTGCCTGTCCCCCTTTTTGGGGGCGGGAGGGGGGGCGAGAGGCGAGGCTGAAAAAGAAGAGAAGGGTAATTGGGGTTGTTAAGGGCATTATAATTTCTTTAAAAAGAGAAAAGGGGAGGCCATGGCTGTCCCAGCCAAGAAGAGGAAGATGAACTTTTCAGAGCGGGAGGTGGAGATCATCGTGGAAGAACTAGAGCTGAAGAAGCACCTGCTGGTGAACCACTTCAATGCTGGGGTCCCTCTGGCTGCCAAGAGTGCAGCCTGGCATGGCATCCTGAGAAGAGTCAACGCTGTGGCCACCTGCCGTAGAGAGCTGCCCGAAGTCAAGAAGAAGTGGTCTGACCTCAAGACCGAGGTCCGTCGCAAGGTTGCCCAAGTCCGAGCTGCTGTCGAAGGTGGCGAGGCCCCAGGGCCCAAGGAAGAGGATGGAGCTGGTGGACCTGGGACAGGCGGTGGCAGTGGCACAGCCATAGCTCCTGTACTGCTGACCCCTATGCAACAGCGCATCTGTAACTTGCTGGGTGAGGCCACCATCATCAGCCTGCCCAGTACCACTGAGATCCATCCCGTGGCCCTCGGACCCACAGCCACGGCAGCTGCAGCCACGGTCACCCTGACACAGAGTGAGTGACCTCTCCTGCTCAGTTCAGCTGCAATTATGGGAAGGGCCAGCTAGTGCTGGGGCAGCCTGGGGCAAATTGGCCGCCAAGGGTCAAAAGTCAGATGGCGATCTTGAAAGACCATGAGGCCTTCCAAGAACTCTCCAGACAGAGGTGATCTTGTTCTTTTGGGGACTTCCTCAGCATGTGGATAGCTGGATATCCATGACTTCCGCTTGCTGACCTGACCTATGCAGTCTTGAAGACAGAGACTGTCTGTAGCCCCACAGGACTTAGGAGCTGCTGTATCAGTAGGCAGCCAGGATATACTTGTTGAATAACTAACTAGGAATAATACTGCCCAAGTGAGACATCCATTCTGCACAAAAATATTCTGTATTTTCAATACACAAACATTCACCAGGCACTTCTCAGGATCTTCATGATTCTTATCTATTCGTCCATTCATCAAGAAATTTATGCTGGGCACAAGAAATACCAAAGTATTTAACATTCCCTGAAGACTGGGGAGATACCTCAGTGGTAGAATACTTGCTTAGCACTGTGAAAATTAAATATATAAGCCAATTATATTCTACTAGGACAGATGAGGTATAGTGTGTGTGTGTGTGTGTGTGTGTGTGTGTGTGTGTGTGTGTGTATGTGTATGAATAGCTTTACCATGAGAAAACCCAAGGACTCACAAGAGGAGAGGGATTTCGTGGTGTGAGGGGAACATACAGTTGATGGCATTCCAGGGTAGGGGAAATAGGAGATGGAGATACACACTCATAATCCTAGCATTCAAGAGATGGATCCCTAGGGCTCAACAGCCAGCCAGCCTATTTGGAGAGGTCCAGACCAGTGAAGGGACTCCGTCTCAGAAAAGAAAAAAGAAAGGATGTGGGCAGCACCTGAGGAATGACACCTGAGTTTGTCTTCTGATCACTCTCCATATGTACACAAACACACGTGTGTGCACACACGTGTGTACCTACATATTGTGAACATGTAGACACAGTCTTTAAAAAGAGAAACAAGATTGACATCTCCCACATACATAGAGGCCCAAATACCTAATGTCCCTTCTAAGGTTCTAGTCAATGAGTGATAACAGAGCTAACTTTGGTTAGGTTTTGTGTTTGAGATAAGGATGTGTGCCCACAACTGTGAACTCTGCTCGGTCATGATAGCTTTGAACTGTATCCACCAGATTCTCAATGGTGTGTGGGTGTGTGGGTGTGTGCTCTCCCCGCGTCTTTCTCCAGTCCGTATGAGGTGGGAAGAGGAGGAAAAATGCTGGTCCAAGTCAGGTACTGTTCTGGAGCAGCATCTTCTAGAATGTTTAGGGGTTGGGTTTTTGTTTTTTTTGGTTTTGGTTTCGGTTTTGGTTTTTTTTTTGGCGGGGGTGGGGGGAGATGTTAGGTTTGTTTTGTTTTTTGAGTCAGGGTTTCTCTGTGTAGCCCTGACTGTCCTGGAATGCACTCTGTAGACCAGGCTGACTTCTAAGAGATTCACCTGCCTCTGCCTTCCTAGTGCTGGGATTAAAGGTGTGTGCCATCACCACCTGGTTGGATGTTTAGTTATCTTAAGAACCAAAGTGATTAAAGAGACAAGGAGGCATTTTCTGGACATGTGACCTGCAGTGGCCCTTCCTCTTTAACTGGCCACACAGAAGGGATAGACTTAGCTCAAAGCAGCACAGAGAAGTGGTTCTATTTCATCATTTCTGAAATTGAAGACGTGTCCATCTCTTGTCATTTGGAGGATTTCTTGAGCTAATGAGTACAGAGTGGTACATGAGTATTCTAAGATTTTGCTGGCATTATTGTTGGCATCTCTGCACTTGTCAGATCTGGGGGCTTCTCATTGGCTACCAATAGAGTAAAATCCTGGAACCTGGTTGGAGAAGTATCTCGATGATAGAGCACATGCTTAGCATATACAAGTCCTGGGTTCCATCCCAGCCTTGAGGAACAAAGAGCTGAACCTCTCAGAGACTGTGTTTTATGTCACTGCAGCCAGGGCGGCCTGAACTCCCCTCTGCCTCCTGCTGCACAGGGTTTCATAGCCCCTTCCAGTGTTGCAGGGCCGGCACCGTCCCTTCCGAAAGATGACCTTCTTCCGCCTTTGTTCTTTCTTCTCGGCAGTCCCCACCGAGACCACCTATCACACACTGGAGGAGGGCGTGGTGGAGTACTGCACAGCTGAGGCTCCTCAGGAGGAGACCCTGCCAACCGAGGCGCCTGTGGAGATGCTGGCCCAGCACGCAGACACATCCGTCAAACCGCAGGCACTAAAGAGCCGCATTGCCCTCAATTCAGCCAAGCTGATCCAGGAGCAGCGGGTCACCAACCTCCACATAAAGGAAATCGCCCAGCACCTGGAGCAGCAGAATGACCTGCTACAGATGATCCGGCGTTCCCAGGAGGTGCAGGCCTGTGCCCAGGAGCGGCAGGCCCAGGCCATGGAGGGCACCCAGGCAGCCCTGAGTGTCCTCATCCAGGTCCTCCGGCCCATGATTAAAGATTTCCGACGCTACCTGCAGAGTAACACACCCACCCCGGCCCCAGCCCCTGACCCTGGACAGATGGCCCAGAATGGGCAGCCGGACAGCATCATCCAGTGAGGGCAGGGGTCAAACCAGTGCTCTGCTGTGATTGAGGGAAACGTCTGTGGAATTGTAAGTGGTTTCTGTGAGTGGCTTTAAGTGGGCCATGTGGATAGCTCCCTCTTGGACAGATATTTGGGGCTTATTAGTCTGAGAGTAATGAAGGAGACTGACTGGGCAAAGGAAATGGCTGGGCTCCTGGGACCCAGTCTCTTTAGTTCAGCCTCCGGAACTGCCTTGTTGAAATCTGGAAGATTTAGCTGGGAGTGTGTATCTGGTGATGGGACAAATGTTGTCGCGATCTAAGGCTTGAGACATCCCCCTGACTCAGTCTAGGACAACTTTAAAGACAGACTGGCTCTCACTGGATCTTCCATGGGCTGCCCCACCTCAGGTGTGCCACCTTTTTTAGTGCCATCCTGCCAGTGGTGCTGCCCAGAAATGCAATAACACCCACGTAAGAATGTCTCCCGGCGCCGCTGGGCAAGCCTAGCCCTTTCATCCTCTCACTGTGCCTCCGTTCTCAGGGGACTCTCCTTACTGCTGTGTGCCACACCCATCCAGGCACAGCCCAGCTCTTGGAAATGCCCTGAGATGCATGCAGCCAGCTTGGCTCAGGAATGCTGTGTGGTGGGAATGGGTTGGCCATCTCTAGTCTTCCATGACACCCCTGGGCGGCTGTCCGTAGTTTGCCCCACCCCCACCCCCACCCCGACTGTGACACGGGCTTCAGGTGCTGTCAGGGTTGGGAGGCAAACCCTGTGGGGAGTCCTGTTTCCTGCTGCAGTGCACTTGAGGTGACCCTCTAATTTTTATTCTGTTTTCTAGCCAGTCATATTTATTCTATAGCTGAACCCTTTCTGGGAGGGCTGCAGGCTCTGTGGCCACCCTTCTCTCCTCTCTGCTGGACCACACACCTGAAGTACAGGGCACACTAGAGCCCTGCTCAGCGTCCCACCTAGACCCCCCCTCCCGTGCTCCTTTCTCAGGGCCTGGTGTGCTGCAGAAGCCCCACCCCCACCCCCCCACCGGCTAAGTGAATCCAAAGCAAGGACTGTCCTCGAGTGTAAGAGGTGGGAGGGGTGAAGCAAGTGTGCCCTTTTCATTCTGTGCTCCTCCAATAGGGCACAGCCTCCGAAGGCTGAAGGACGCGTCTGCCTTCCTACCTTCTCTGAGGCACTTACAAAAACCTCGGCCAGACGGGGTTTGTCTGTACCATTTCAGACGTGCCGTTGAGTGCCGAGCCCTCAGTCTCCTCACATCACCATCGCGTTTGCCATTTTGCACCATAACTGGGCCTCTCGTGAGCAGTGGCTACAGCAAAGTTCCAGATCTTAACCAAGCTGCCCTTCCAGGCATGCACACACAGAGATGCTTAGCGCCACTCTGTGGTCCAAGAGGCCCCCTGGAGACAGGAGGTGGCTACCCGCTGTCCCGTTCTCCAAGGAGGCATGTAGTGCCAGCTACAGAGAGGGGAGTGAGGTGGGGCCCCTTCCCCAAGTGGAGCCTCTCGGCTCCAGCAGGGTTGCTGTGGGAGCTTCCAAAAGATGTGTGACCCAGTTTGGTTCTACTCTGGGGTTGGAAATCTGAGCCAATGTTGTATCTGTTCCATTTGTGTATAAAAAGGAAGCCTAGGTTACTGAAGCTAACTTGTTCTTTCCGGGTCACAACTTTAAATTAAAGAAATATCACTTTTTTATACACACTTCTCTGTGTCATTATTGATCACACATAGAAATAAACTATGGCCTCCAGGCTAAATCTGGTCCACCACCTATTTTTGGTTGGTTTTATTTTGTTTTTGTGTTTTTGAGACAGTCTCACTATGTCTCCCTGGCTGGCCTTGTGATGGCTAAAGTTATGTTTTAAGTTTAAATTACTGTGCTTAAGAGATCTATAAAACAGAAATGTCTCTAACCTGTAAGTCCCACTTGCTTAAGGACAGATAACTTCCTGGAATGCTGGGGACTGTTGTTCAAGTAGGGTAACAAACCACATGTTTTCTGCTTCTATAAACAAGTTTGGTTACCCCAACAGTACAGAATCTGTTTGCTCACACATAGGTGGGAGAGATATGTAGGCAGGAAGTATATCAGGATGTATGCTTGCCCCTAATTGGATAAAGGTGCGAAATATGTAAGCTTGTGGGTTGTGTGCGGGGCGTTTACCCACCAACCCCACAGTCCCCCAGAGTTTTCTTGAGTAAGAGCAGCAGGAAATATTAGATAGAAGGATTTAGATTGTGGAGATGAACAGATAGAAAATAAGGGATAGCCTCGAAAGGACCTGGAACCTTTTCCAACGGGCCCTGACTGTCTTTGCCCCAGGGTATTTATAGAGATACCAAGGGGTGGAGCAAAAGACCTCCTCCCCCAGCACAGCCAAGTGCAGACCATGTCAGACACCTGTGATGTCTGACATGAGAGGATGATTAGGACCACGGGCCTGGGAGGAAGCTCAGAGAATCCTGAGCTAATCCCAGATGTTGATCATTGAGCTATTTGCACGGTCGGACTTTGGTTTTGCCTTGTCCAGACTATGGCTGGGCACTGCTGCTTCCCTCTTGAAGTAAAAAAGGGCATTTTAAAAAGGGCACTTTATTTTTGATATTGCAGGAACTCACAGTTTAGAGATTTTTGAATTTCTTTAAAAGGAAATCTTGGAGGTTTTTTTTTTTTTTTTTGGTTTGTTTGTTTTTTTAATTAAATTGGATAGGAGGTGGTGGCGCACGCCTTTAATCCCAGCACTTAGAAGGCAGAGGCAGGGGGATATCTGTGAGTTCCAGGCCAACCAGGTCTACAGAGTGAGTTCCAGGACAACCAGAGCTGCACAGAGAAACCCTGTCTCAAAAAATAAACAAACAAAAAATAATAAAAACAAATAAATAAAAGACTAAAAAGTTGGGGCCATAGCTATGAACACAAAACACTAAACACCAGAAACTGGAATATTCCTATTTTATGATGCTTCAAGACAATGACCTAAGCAGTCTGGCAAAAGCTTATAGAAAGTCCCTCCTTACCTAAGCTCTGTTCAGGCTAACAGAGACTGACTTAAGCAGTATGTCTAGCCTCCTTTTCTAACTTTGTTAAACTTTAGCTATTGATAAACTGAGTCATTAAAGAAACTGTGATTAATTTTTGTAATGGTATGCTATGAAAGGACTAGGAAAATAAAGTTTCCAGTCTTCCCTGGACTGTATATATGATTTAAAGTTTTAGTTTGGCCGGGCGGTGGTGGCACACGCCTTTAATCCCAGCACTCAGGAGGCAGCGGCAGGGAGATCTCTGTGAGTTCGAGGCTAGCTTGGGCTACAGAGTGAGTTCCAGGACAGGCTGCAATGCTACACAGAGAAACCCTGTCTCGAAAAACCAAAATAAATAAATAAATAAAGTTTTATTTTGGTACTGAACAAGCTTCAATTCAAAAATTGTTTTTTTAAGACTAAACTTAATAGGAACAAAAAGGCAAATTCTAATCTTATAAAAGCTACAAACTTAATAGTAAACTGTTAAAGATTATTAAGATATACAAATTCATTGTCAGTCACCTTATAAATGATCAAATTCTTTAATGTGTTCAGAACTATGCTGTGGGATGATCCTCCTGTAAGCTGTGAATATGTATTATTCCCATTGGTTGATAATAAAGCTGTCTGGCCTATGGCAAGGCAGGATAAGGTTAGGCAGAACAATCACACTGAGGACTCAGATGAAGAGGGGCAGAGTCGAGGGAGACTTGAACCAGCTGCCTAAGAAGCAAGATGCCAGAGACCAGTAAAGTTTCCCCACCTGCCTATTCCTGAGGGTGGGAGCTCTCTCTCTCTCTCTCTCTCTCTCTCTCTCTCTCTCTCTCTCTCTCTCTCTCTTTCCCCTGGACTTAGGACTCCTCCCCTCCCCCAACTACCAGAACCATGGGCCTGGAAATTCCAAATGTAAGATTTCTTTAAGTTCCTAGACTTTAACTTTCGTCCTAGATGTATGTATATGTATGTCCTAGCAGATCTCTACTAGGCTGACAGAAACCATCAAGGAATCAGTTGCTGACTACTGACTACAAACTGCTCCAAACAGCTGTGAGCCCTGGACTTGTTGAAAAGCTGGTGTAAACCAATCCAGCAGATATGATTGCTCCCTGTCTCTTCAGCTGGGTCAGTGAACCAGATGCTTCTGATGAATGCCCCATTGCCTGAGTCCCCTCCTGGCCTTTGGCTAACATTCCAGCCTTCCTGGGCCCTGACAACAGCATCCTAATTTCAGCAGGAAGTAGGTACAGAGGAGAAATGTCACCCCTTATTCTCAACAAAGGGCTGGAAGGGTAGGTCAAAAGGAAACTCCCGGACATAGTGCCTGTTGGCATACCAGGAAAGGTATCTGTTAAAACCAAATAGACCAAGATTCATCAACAGGCAGATTCTTTAGCTGAAGCAGTTCTACAATATGATAGGGCACTCAACCTGCTCTATGCAGAACAAGGTTATTATGTGGCTTTAAGAGAAAGTTGTTGTTTCTATACAAACCATTTGGGGATCATTAGAGATAATCTAGCTATACTCAAAACAAAAATATTGCAATAAAAGGAGACCTGAGATGAAATAAATAACTGGTCCCCATTCTCATGTTTGGACTCCTCCTAGACAGTAACTCTGATGTCAGCCATTGCTGTTTCTTTGACCCTTCTGTTTCTGCTAATTACTATTGGCCCTTGATTCATTGATACCTTAACTAGATACATAAATTACCATCTGGGGGCCATTAATCTGATGGCTATTAGATTCCAGGCAGGTGGATCTCTGTGAGTTCAAGGCCAGCCTGGTCTACAGAGCTAGTTCTAGGACAGCCAAGGACACATAAAGAAACCCAATCTCAGCCGGGCGGTGGTGGCGCACGCCTTTAATCCCAGCACTCAGGAGGCAGAGGCAGGCGGATCTCTGTGAGTTCCAGGAGAGGCGCAAAGCTACACAGAGAAACCCTGTCTCGAAAAACCAAAAAAAGAAAAAAAAAAAGAAACCCAATCTCAAAAAACCGAGAGAGCCGGGTGGTGGTGGTGGCGGCGCACGCCTTTGATCCCAGCACTCGGGAGACAGAGGCAGGCGGATCTCTTGTGTTCGAGGCCAGCCTGGTCTACAAAGTGAGTTCCTGGAAAGGCACAAAACTACACAGAGAAACCCTGTCTCGAAAAACAAAAAAAAAAAAATAAACAAAAAAAAACCAAGAGCGAGGGGGTGTAGAGATGGCTCAGAGGTTAGGAGCACTGGCTGCTCTTCCAGAGGACCTGGGTCCAATTCCCAGCACCCACATGGCAGCTCACAACTGTCTGTAACTCCAAGATCTGACACCCTCACACAGACATGCAGGCAAAACACCAATGCACACAAAATAAAATAAATAATTTAAAAAAAAAACGAAAGAGAGAGACACAGAGGGAGGAAGAGAGAGATATCTATTTAAAACAAAACAAAACACTTGCCCAAGGACACAAAACTTCCTGGAATGCTGGGGACTGTTGTTCATGTAAGATAATAAGCTACACGTTTTTGCTTCTGTAAACAAGCTTGGTTGCCCCAACTGCACAGGATCACATATAGGTGGGAAGCACACAAGCAGGAAGTACATTGGGATGTATGCTTGCCCCTGATTGGACGAAGGTGAGAAGTACATAGCCTTGAGGATTGTGCCTTTATAAGTCCCTGTCTAATGTAATTTGATGCCATACTCTGGGAATCCTGGGTATGGACCTGGCCAGTGTCCATTGTCCTGACCAGTATTCAATAAAGCTTGTTTCAAATTTAGCTTAAAAATTGTGGTAGTCGTCTTATTCTCACCCAGTGGGATTAACAGCCTGGAACTCACTATGTAGACTAGGCTGCCTTTGAATTCACAGAGATCTACCCTACCACTCCCTCTTGAGTGCTGGGATTAAAAGTGTGTACCACCATGCCTGGCCTGCCACCTATTTTCGTAAATAAAATTTTACTGGAACATAGGCATTAAATACGTTCATTTAAGAAACTAGCTGAATTATACTGTGATATCAGAGTTGAGTAGCTGCAACCAGAAACAGCTGGACCACAAAGCCTGAAGTATATACCTGGATTAGTGTGTGGCTTCTGATGTGGGGAGAATTATCCAGGTCTTACCCAGAACCTAAAATAGACTCCAGGAGAGAAAGTGCTCGGACTGTGTGGTGTGGTAGAAACACACCCTGCTTTTAGAGTGATCCCCGTGATTTCCTGATAGCTGAGAACTTGGCCTCCCAGACCTGCACTCTGGATTCCAGATCCTGCTCTAGAGTGGGCTGCCTCTTGGGAGTCTCTTCCCAACAGGTGCGGTGTTTGGCTGAGCAGACGCTCCTGGAATAAGACTGGTCTTTAAGAGGATCTGGGCTTCCCAGGGCAGGCTCCTGTTCTTACTTGTCACTGTTTAAAGATCAATACAGCTGGCAGTTGTCAGTCTCACTTTATCAGCTATGGTCACTCAGTCCTTACGGCAGTGGCAGGAAGTAGGTGTTGTCCTGTCAAGTTCCAGGACACCCTGTATAAGAATAATAAGCGGCGTTGGTTACCAGCACTGGTTACCGGCGCTGGTTACTTGAATGGAAAGGTCATAGCCATGACAAACCCCAGTATCAGTATCAGAGCTTTATTAAGAGGAAGAGGGGTGGTGGGAAACAAGAGAACCAGGCCTGGGGAAGGAGCACGTGCAG